CATTTGGTGGTAGCCAATTGTATATAATAGTATCAGAGTTTTCAAATGGAGAATCACTTACAATGCACTAGTAGTACTGTTTTGCAACCACCTGTGTCAATCAGTACCACCCTGCTGGAAGCAAACACTCCTTTCACACACCCTGCTGAGTAAAAGGAATGCCACCCACTTTTATCATTATTCTTTTCTGACATTGATCACATTTTTGATGTATTCATTCCAGGTTGATTCAGTCTGCACCTTATCCATCATGATTGTCTCTAGAACTAATGGAACTTGGCCCAAAATCATAACAAGAACAAAGACTTAAAAATTACCCAGCTCTGGTGCCCATAACTCTGTATTGTACTTCAAAATGTACTAATACTACTAGCTGGTGGCAGTACAAGAATATACTACTAGTACTAGGATGATCTAAACAGCCAGCAGTATTTTTCCATTACAAAGAATAGGTGGTAAGTAGATTGCTCAATACAAGTTAACTATCAATTGCTAAAAAAACATGTCCTCAGAGGTTGATGAATAGTACATTTCACTTAAGCAGTGAGAGAGAGTCTTGTTACATCCCAAAATGTATCATGTTCTTGCCTTCACTAGTAGTATACTAGTATCATAAAATCTGGTGCACTGCAGTATGACAGAGTGATATTAGAAATGGAAAGGAAATAATATGGAAAACAATATTGAAAGTAGTAGACACATGCAGCAAGCAATGAAGAATCCTTCTTTTTCAGGCCTATGGGAGGTACTTTATCATTATCTGCTAGTAATAACCCTGAAAAAGGTTTGATGTAGTAGATATTGATCAAATGATGACTTTTTGCCACAAGAACTGCACCACAAAATAACAAAATTGGTTTTGACAGAGTATTAAAAATGAGTTATGATCTTCTGTGTTATCTAAAGTGTCATGACACACTTCATGTACTAATCTGTCTTAAGGGAAGTGATTGAGCACAACAACAACAACAAGGAACAGTAGGAGTAGCAGTAGTAATATAACACATACAACATTGAGCAGTTTTCAGTATGGTGACAGCACTAACACTAGCAGTAATTTTAGGTTGTTTATCATTTATTGTTTGTCTCTTCTTTCCTCAACACCAGATCATCCTAACACTAGTACCCAGGTAGGTTTTGAACAGGAAGGTGGAAAAATTGGCTACAGTGTGTTGGGCTATCATGTAAACTTTTGCACAGAAGCCAGTAGCCTTGATAATTCTCACTGTTCTGGGCTTACTGAAGAAAGAAAAAGATTTTTTTTGTGTCTGTTAAATCCATGTAAACTTCAGTATACCATTTTTTGCAGACAAATTCGTAGTACTTTGACAAAAACAGGGTACTATTTTTAAATAGTAGGAGTTCAGATAGAAATACTTAAAGAAGCAGTCATTTCAAGATTCCCAAGACTTAAGTTCACTCACTCAATGCTGCCATTGGTCATTCTAAGATTTATTAGAACCCAAGTCCTCCCAAGACTCAAAAAATAGTGATTGTCATCATCAGTCATTTCAAAATGTAAGAAAACCAAATTGCTCCCAAGACTCAAAAATGAGTCATTGTCATCATTGGTTACTCCAAGATTTAAGAGAACCAAGTTGTTCCCAAGACTCAAAAAAGAGTTGTTGTCACCATTATTCATTCCAAATATTTAAGAAAACCCAATTCCTCCTCCAAAGACTAAAAAATGAGTCATTGTCATCATTGGTCATTCCAATATTTAAGAAAACCAAGCTGCTAGTCATTGTCATCATTGGTCATTCCAATTTTAAAGAAAACCAAAATCCTCTTAAGAATGGAAGAATGAGTCATTGTTGTCATTGGTCATTCCAAAATGAAAGAGAACCCAATTCCTCCCAAGACTAAAAAATGAGTCTTTCTTGTCAAAAATTAGTCATTCTTGTCATCATGTGAAGTCATAATTGCTGTCACTTGTTATTCCAAGATTTCATAGAACCATGTTGCTACCAAGACTAAAAAAAGCAATCATTGTTGTCATCAGTCATTCCAACATGAAACAGAACCCAATTCCCTGCTCAAGAGTATCACCAGTAGTACTTGAATGTGCAATCATTATCATTATTGGTCATTCTAAAATTGCATTCACCATTACTACTACATTAACAGTAATGGGGAATGGCTCTAATGAGCATGATTCACTTACTGGTGAGACTAACACATATGCTGCTGATGCCTAGTAGTTACTAGTGAATAAGTTTGAGTCCTACAAGAAATACTAGTACCAGTTCCTCTCAAAGTTGGGAAGCAACAAGGCAGAGCAGAGCAGTGCCAATGCCAATGCCAGAGGCAAAGGCAAAGGCAGAGCCAAAGTAAAAGCTAAAGCCAAAAACCAACGCCAACGCCAACGCCAACGCCAACGCCAACGCCAACGCCAACGCCAACGCCAACGCCAACGCCAACGCCAACGCCAACGCCAACGCCAANCAAAGGCAGAGCCAAAGTAAAAGCTAAAGCCAAAAGCCAACGCCAACGCCAACGCCAACGCCAACGCCAACGCCAACGCCAACGCCAACGCCAACGCCAACGCCAACGCCAATGCCAATGCCAATGCCAATGCCAATGCCTTCTACAACAAGAACTTATTGATGGCCGCCAAACTTGCTTCTAGGTGCACTGGCAAATGTAACAACAACTACTATACCAATGAGGAGTCATTATTATGGTTGATCATTTCAAAAGGTGATAATTTTGGCAACTTAAAATGTTGCCTCTCATTTGTTTGCCAGCTAACAATTTTGGGAGCTAAAAATTTTGCAAGACTGATCATACCTTCAATA